GCGCCGCGCCGCGCCCTCCACACAAACACAGAGGAACGCCGCTACATCACCTCCTGCGCAGGCTTTCCTGCTGTTATTAAGTTGGCTTGAGAAAGTTTATTATTAGTGGTTTCTAAGCACTATTGTTATCTTGCATACTTTCTCTTCTACTGGACAAAACTTCGGCGCACTACTCCTCCCGCACCGTTTGTCCTAGACCCATGAATGAGGTGTCAAATCACACTTTTGGTCATATATTTAACAAGGCTTTTACATTTGAAAACGGCACTTTTTGAAATGCTTCTTCAGTCACAGCGTCACGTGTCGATCACAGACGATTAGCAGATCACCCCTGACCTCTGATAAAACACACTGCTCCGTGACGGCTTTGTGGAAGAGTCTTTAATGTCGCCGTAAAAAACAAACATGAAACATGCAGATTTTAAGCGTACAGCAAGACAGTGAAATATTCAGGACAAGATGGTAACTCACAGTGAGCTAGAGCAGAACAGAGTCGTGCAGAATTCAGAACTGAAGAAATGAGTACGATCCACAACATTAATGCGGTGTTTGAGTGATCCATGCTGACAGATGAAGCATTACAAACCACAGCAGATCAGTTTCCATTTCTGTGAAGTTCATTCTACTTTAATTAGAATTCTGCAGCCTGTTTGTGGCCTCAGTTTAGATTGAAGAAGCGAGTTGGGATTTGAAGCCATTCGGTTCAGTTCTAGATGATGCACAACACACACACACACACACACACACACAGGTGTGATTCCCTTGACCTTTGACTGACGGAAGCGTTCATCCCTCCATCAGACGGATGACATGCAGACAGAGAGAGGGTTATATCATCTTGGCGACCGACGGCGGGGAGGTGAGGAGCACGTATGCAGGAGGAGACGCGCGAGACACTGAGACGTGTCTTCTGAGCACACAGCTGCACACCAGCGCCAGCGTCTGAGGATAAACACACGCAGACGGTCAGAACACACGCGTGTTTGAGAGTGAACCACACAGAGCTCCAGACGGACTCACCATGATTCCTGCCGTCCCCAGAAACCCTCCCAACACCAGCTGAGCATTCGAGTTGAAGACGTCCTTGATCACGTTGGGACAGCTCTACATACACACACACACACACACACACGGATGAGTGCCTGTACTCCTCTAACTTCAAACAGCCAGAAATCAGAGCAAGACAAACAGAAAGTGACTCACAGAATACGAGAGCTGCTGCAGGAAGCTGCCTTTTGGACAGGTGTCTCGCACAAACATCTCAATCGGTCCACCGACACCGCAGCAATCAAACTGAAACACAAGCACACGCCTGTTAGAGCATGTGTGTGTGTGTGTGTCAGTGTCTTTGACTGTCTGTCTGTGTGTGTCTTTGACTGTCTGTTTGTGTGTGTCTTTGACTGTCTGTCTGTGTGTGTGTGTGTCTTTG